GGCTAACTTGGCAAATGGCCGGTCATGTAAGCTACTAGGCTTAAGAACGGGGATAGAAAATATATGCTTCTATATTCCAGGACAGGAACAGATGATCGAATTGCGGGCGAAAATCGCGAACATATGCACATGTAGGAGCAGGTATAAGAGAGATACCTAACCGACGAGATCCTCTGCTCCAGAGGAAACCCCAGGAAACGCCAGGAAGAGAGACGAGAAGGATGAGAGAAAAGAAACATATACGTTTATTAAAAACTTGGAAAAAGCCCCCCGTTACCAAGCATGTGGATTTCAAATACACAACTGCATCCGCAAACCGGCGCTATGCAATGAAATCTAGGAGGTTGGACGGGAAAGCCGAGCAAGAGGTGGTGGCACTATCGATAGCTTAGTCATCAAGAATGTCGCCATACTGGAAAGCAGACTGGGGCCCCCCGGGCGTGTTTGATAAATGAAAAACAGTAAGCTACAGCTGTGGCATCAACCCGGATGAGGATAGCGCACGTCAGAAGTCTAAGTTCCCTATAACCGCTATATCGTCCGTGCCCAGCGATCTCTCCCGTCTCCATTGAAACACGGTTGAAAACGTAAACTAGACGCCGTGAGGCCTGCTGCTTTCACCTAGGTAAGCACTGAACTGTTCTCTAGAACAGTACTATTTCATAAAAGCACACTCACGGTTAGTACCAAAACCAACTTGCCCATCCGTTATTGCAAGCAATCCACCCGGTTCCATTCCTACCCTCACCCCCGCCAACGACTGTCAGCAACTCGAGGCAATAGTGCTCAACAAAGCTATTTACTCCTCCCTCTGCTCCTACCTCATAAACCGCTGCCTATTAGCAGTGAAATACCCAAACGCGAACCTGCTAACCACATAAAATACACTACCAACACCCACCAGACCAAGGGGGCAGATGATAACCGGAACCAACCACGGAGGTAAAATAAAAGCCACCGGAAGAAGCATACATGACAGTAACTAACTTCCTCTTTCAGGGGGTACCATAGGACAACAACATGGGTGAAAATCCGAACACCCAAGAAGCATGCACACCTAAGCGACGCCAAAGCCTCAATGCAGCGGATAAGACCCAACTCTCTATTTACCCACAGAGCTACACTTCATCCTACGCGAGGTCCGGACAGAGAGAAAATAAACAAGGAGGAACGGCTATCATATTTACTACCGAGCGAGGGAGAGCTCGGCTTCGGCAATAGTGTGGGTGTGAGTTAGCGGTGAGTTACATTGGGCTAGTGCTTGTCGGGCAAACACATACCCACGTTAAGGCCAGAAACTACACTATACCGTAACAGCAGACCACTTATTCCCCCATCACATCAACACCACAAACTGTGGAAATTCTAGCTTGCAGTCGTGCCGCGCCAGTGTCAGTCACAGGTAGCATTGTGGAAGCGGTCGATAAAATGGGCTATGGCTGCCTTCACGGGCTGTCACTCGGCCAAAAGTACCAGAGCGGGAGGAGAGTCTATGGCCTGAACCGCATTTCTCTCAAGGAGGACAGTGGGGGGGGGGGTGTTCTAGGATATCATGGGTTCTGGCCGACCGAATTCTATCGCTCCCAGCTAAACAATCCAAATGACCACTCCGTCGCCTGCCCTTCTTATTCCTAAGTGCTGACTACCGGCCCGTACCATGTATCTCTTTCCTTCTGACCTAACTCCCTTACCTCCACCTCGGGCGGGGCCAGTCAATCAGTACAGAGATCCGGGATGATACCAGAACGCTAAACCTTCACATGCTATCACTCGCAATATGGGCCTGAAAAGTGGAGTCGAGCTGGCCAGCGGCATAAACGGTGCAGGTATGGTACCGGCGGATCCCTGCAGCGGCTACTAGAGACTTGCTAGTGTCCGCCGCTTGGAAGCATTGGGGATGAAACAAAATAAGGTGGAAAACTTGCCTGCATTCAGCCCTTGTTTCCCTCCCTCCTTTTGCCCTCCTTCAAAAGCAACAAAGGCGAGATCACCACCTACAGTGCGGAGATTTATTGCGGAGAAATCCATTACCGAATGTGAATGCGATTAAGAGTGATACAACCCACAATATTTCCCACCTTTTGCCCTGGTGTCTCAGAGCCAATCAGCATCACAATATAGAATAGCCTGGGTTAGCTGCGGTGTGTCCTCCTAATATCACAAGGGGTTTTGGTGTCTCGATCTATCAATGTCTTGCCATTTTCCTTACCTTTCGCTTGTGGAGAAGATAGAAATAGGTATTGCTAACTCTTCTCACAAGATTTCTGCACACACGCAGCTGAGCCTAACAGGGTTTCGCATAGTATAGGAGACGAGGCTAGCTCAAAACGCTCGGTATGGTAAGGTTTTTCCTACTATTGTCTCTTCTTTGGTTGCCCACTGGGTTTAACCTCCGTGGTGGGTATGGGAGGTTCGAATTGTACCGCAAGGGGTTGGTGGAAAAAAAAAAATACTAATATGTCAATGAAGAATGATATTCTAGATGGATCAATTGATAAGCATGTTGAAAATAGAAATATGTCAAGTGTTGATTCTAAACATCCTAATATAGTATCACCCCCATAAAGCAAACGCCATGAATAGAAAAGACCGGAGAAGATGTAGTGAATACATAATATAGAACAACGTACTTTCACGTGGTAGGAATATACAGAAGGAAATATCGGGGATCGGAGTTTAGGAAAAACTGAGAGAAAAGAGGAGGAAGGGGAGGGCAGTAGAAAGAGAATGGGAACCGAACTGTTAAGTGGTATTTTGATGGAAATCGTTGCGGAAGGAGTACACGTAGGTGTGTGTAGCGAGGGGGGGGTGCAGGAAATATCTCTCTGGGCTTAATCAACGCTGGGGTTTGTGCTTGCCCGACGCCGGAGGAGTGCTGTGATCTTGGTATGCCGACACTCAGAGGCGATGTGGAGTGGGGTTCGACCAAAGTTATCTGGCTTGTCCGGATTGACATCGCCCCGGGCGAGCAGCAGTCTCACCACCCCCTCACGCCCACTGCAGCAAGCACGCCAGAGTGGTGTTTCACCATCATTGTCAGGCTGGTCGGGGCTGAGATCGTCCCGGGTGAGCAGTAGTCTCACAACCCCTACATGCCCATAGCAAGAAGCCGCCCAGAGCGGTGCTGCACCAAAATTGGTAGGCCAGTTGGGATTGACATCGTCCCGGGTGAGCAGCAGCCCCACAACCCCCTTATGCCCATTTTTAGAAGCCGCCCAGAGCGGTGTTTCACCATAATTGCTAGGCCGGTCGGGATTGACATCGTCGCGGGTGAGCAGCGACCCCACAACCCCCTCATGCCCATTTTTAGAAGCCCCACAGAGCGGTGTTTCGCCACAATTGCTAGGCCGGTCGGGATTGACATCACCCCGGGCGAGCAGTAGTCTAACAATAACCTCATGCCCATAGCAAGAAGCCGCCCAAAGCGGTGTTTCACCATTGCTAGGCCGGTCGGGATTGACATCGCCCCGTGCGAGCAACAGTCTCACAACCTCCTCATACCCACGGCAAGAAGCCATCCAGAGTGGTGTTTCGCCATGTATAGGCTGGTCGGGATTGACATCGTCCCGCGTGAGCAGCAGTTTCGCAACCCCCTCATGCCCATATTTAAAAGCCATCCAGAGCGGTGTTCCACCATAAGCGTTACGCCGGTTGGGATTGACATCGTCCCGCGTGAGCAGCAGTCTCACCACCCCCTCATGCCCATTGCAAGAAGCGCTCCAGAGTGGTGTTTCACCACAATTGTTAGGCTTGTCAGGACTGACATCGTCCTGTGAGAGTAGAAGTCTTACCACCTGTTCATTCCCTTGCTGAGCAGCCCACATGAGAGGTGTAAACCCTGCGCAATCCCGATGATTGATATTGGAACCTTTCATCTCTATCAAAGCAACAACGACTTCCACAATTCCGAAGTAGGATGCTGCGTGTAAACCGGGAAACAGGTGATTGGGCAGAGAACAATGATGGTATTGGATTATTCGGTTAAAAAGTAAGATAGCGGATATATGGTCGTTGAAGCTGTTTAATAGTTCTAGGGCACGGGTTTTCGCGCTATCTGAGAAATCCGCTTTCGCATGAACTCCCCAATGGAGCGATGAATATTCGAGAAAGGGTAGATGCTCAAGGTTCCAAACAACTCCGGCGGGAAGCCCCTTGACCTGTTCATAGTTTAGATAGGCTAAACAAGTGTCCGAAAGTCTTTTGTGGGCATCAGGAAATATACCTGGCCGGGAGAGATATTCTTGTAGAGTGTAGTGGATTAGCCGGACCGTCGATGTCTCACTGTCAACAACAGCAAGCCCTAGGCATGACCCGAGGACTGTATCTTGTGGCCGGATATTCTCTGGGTCTAGATTCCGCTTCCCCATCTCTACCGCCAAAGCATGACGGAGTTCGTTAATGCGCAGCGGCCGCTCCGCGTGGGATACCCACATTAGCACCTCAATCCCAAGTCTTGACCGGTCCCCCTTCTGCTCCCTTATCCGCTGCAATGTTTGGGCATATATAGTATCTAGCTCGACACCGGTAGTGGCTACCTTCCACAACATTTCCTTTCTCTTTGCTAATGAGGTCTCGCCCAATATTGCATCAATATTTAGTGCGACAAGCAGAAACCTTTGCAGGGTATCAATTAGTGAACCAGATTATTAATAGAGTAGCTGCTACTCACATCTCCGAAGACTTTTCCGCGAGTGTTTTCATGATATCGTTTTTCAAATTCTCTGTCATCAAGTCCGGATCTCGGTCATCATCTTCGTCCATCTTTTGACCTACATATCTTGCGATATCCCCTTGGTCGACCACAACGTGTATGATATGGGCCCCGTCCGTGAGATGTTTATCCAGCTCCTTGCGGATATGCGGCCTTCCCGTAAGAAATAACCGTATCTTTGGTGCTTCTGAAACAATCTGCCGTAATGCGCGAAGAAACTGGGATCGATGCTGCAGCAGTAGCTCATCCACTGCGTCGAAGCAGATGTATACTCTTTCAAAGGAATTGATTGTTTTAACAAATAATGCTAGCATGTCCGGCAATCGGAGACTATTGCCACAATCCTTCTCCGACTCCTTGAAAGCACTTCGAATTTCGCCTGGAATCTTCGTTGCTCGTACAGCAATCTGTCTGAGTAGACCACCTATCAGATTTACTGCCGTCTGGTCCTTCTGCTCCTGGTAATCACAATAGAGCGATAAAACTGCCGCATTCTGTCCACGGACTCGCTTGCACAAGGTGTCTATTACTAATGAGCTAGTTTTATTACCTGTTAGCATCGTCTATGGCCGCGGGAGAATGCAACTTTTACCTTATGTATGTCTTTCCAACCCCTTGGCTCCCGTGGCACAGCAAAGTAGGATTCGCCGTGCCGTCCCGACTGTCGCGCCATGACTCGAACTCACTCTTTCCTAGAACCCAATCCCCGACACCATCAAGCCTACTGGAGCTCACACCCCGATGCCTTCCATGTGGCTCTAGTGGAGATAGCCATGCTTGAATCCGTAGGGACTCCTCATTTACTCCGAAGTTGACCGTGTTATTGTAGCTGTTTGCCACATTTCCAACGTTTGTATTCGAGCCACCCCGAATACTATCCGTCGTGTAACCATCAGTGCGCATATCCGCGCACGGGCGGGGATCACCACTGAGACTGGATACTCCATAACTCGTAGGTAAAGGATTCATAGTGGGTAAAGTTTGGTGACAGGTACGACGATAGCAAACAAGAACGGTAGTTCGTCGGGGAGGGCAGCGGAACGCCTCTTTCCTTTCAGAAAGCGGGGATCGTACGCTTGTTGGGGGGGTTAAATTTTCAATGCCATGCACTCGGTAATCAGCCTTGTGGATACCCTTGGCTGCGAAATATGCCCCCGGAAGAGTGAAACTCCAGCCTCGCCGTTGGCCCTTTCCGAAACAGGGAAGAAAGATTCCGGGAACAAACAGGGAAAGAGGAAAGATAAATGCCACATAATGAACTGCTGGATCACTTATCATACCTTTTTGACGGTCAGGAAGACTTTCTCAGTGTTTACTGGAGCAATCCGCCTTGCTTAAGGTGGTCTGTTTTGGGCAGTTTGTTGAGCCAAGAGTTTCTCGCAAGCCACGAAGCCACAATCCTAAATCCCTGTCCCCCCCAACAGGGGTGGAAAAAGAAAAATACGGTCGGCGATTGGATCCTTCAAGCTAGATTTATTTCCGAACCTCTTCTAGCTCTTCCCTTCCAAAAAAAATTATCAGGGTCACTTATGGAACGAAAAACCCTCTTGGATACCATGCGCTTGGCGGTAAAACCTTTCGGATACTGTACCATCCCCGGGAGATATACCATCGAAAAAGTGAAACCTTTGTGAATGGTTACCTTACCTTTGACCCTGATAAAACTGTGAAGGGAGATTCAAAAAAAATACTGTAGAAGGGCTAAAAAATAAATACACTTGGTTTTTATATTTTAGACTTTATTATCATCAGAAGGTCTTTCAGTGTGTTGATATGCTGCTACTTAAAAGTGGAATGTTTTGGGCGATTTGTTGTGCCAGGAACTCCCGGAACATTTCTAAATTACCTCACCCCGTGACCCGCTTTATGCCAGGGAAAGCACAGAAAAAAACCTAAAAAGGTATCAGCAAGCTTCGAGTAGTTCTTTCATTTTTCTGCAATTTTCATCGATTTGTCTGCATTGTTTGGAGGGTGAAAGAGTGAGCAAAAGAGCATGAATATCTTATTGTCCGTTGCAACCTGGATATTATTTGGAAAGGTTTCACTCTTTCGATAACATATTTCCTGGGGGATGGTATGATATCCTTAAAGGTTTTACCGCCAAGCGCATGGTATTCAAAAGGGTTACGAATACCCAATTACAGGGCATCCCCTCCCTTGACAGCCGAGCGGTCGCAGCGATGGGTACGGTACCCTTTCCCGACATTGGACCGAAACTCACGCCTTCGATTGACACATAGCCGAGGGATACATAATGCCCCGCTTGAAGAGGCGATCACAGTGCCCCATGACGATGCATTGGTCCCCAGCAGGAAAGGAGCCAACCCGGTCCATAGGATATCCTACTGGCTACGTAAGCTTCCGTACTTGATGGTTGGGATAGAACATAAATTTATATAAGCACGATACCTATGCGTATTGCCGCGAAATAAGGGCCATTCAATCAAAACAATGAGCTGACCACGAGGTACTCGTAAAAGACATCCGAGCAACGAAAAACCCTCTACCCCGAGAAACCCGAGAAAACTCACAGATGCGTGTTATGAAGGGAGAAACCAAAACAAGTGCGCTTGTCAAGAAAATTGGACAAAATCCCTCCCTATTACCGAGCCTCTGGGTTGCTAATAATTCCAACTCATCCACGAGCCCGTGTGACAGACGAGGGTGGGTGGAGCTACCGCTTGCTTAGTCATCAGGCACATCACGTGGATGTCTCATCGCTATCCAAGAGCGGCGTCATTAGCTAATCACAAGTGCCGGTGACTTCCCCCGTCTCTGTGGGAATAGGATTGGAAACCAGGAACCGACGTCCCTAGGGAATCTTTTCTCACCCAAAGAAACTGTGCCATGCCTGTTCTGTAATAACACCATCGCCGCCTCTCGCAGCAACCCACCTCCTAACGTGTCATTACAGCAGATCCATTCAATCTAGCGCACATAATACCTCGCCACCTCATCACTAGCGTCGCATCTTGCCAACCTCCCTCGGTACTCGTAGCGCGGGAAGGCAGTTTTTTCAGCGCCGGGTTCCACCCCCCCTCGCCGGGCATCGATGCTGGTCCACCAGTAGAGAAATCTCCAAACCCTACACCCGTCAACCACCCACGATACATTACTATATACTGTCTCCAGCGGTAAAGCAAGGAGGACGTGCAATAACCGCAGCCAGCCCCCGGGAAAGATAGAAGGCTATTCAACTACAGCACTCCCCGATCACTACTCCAAGCCCAACTCTCATGGCACTCCATCATGGTAAATCGGTCTGACCCGCGGAGGGCGGCCTCCTACCTTCTCGGCACAAGTTCCCCTCCTTCTAGACTACCATTCGCAGTCCGCGTGAGCAGTATTCTGCAATATCCGCCAACTCGCCCGGCCCGATGAAAATCACCTACACCCTGCGTCGCACAATCCCGCACTCTTAAAGTGTCCAACACAACTACCGTACACCACGAAACCTCGCGACTACCGGACGGGCAGTTGCACCTGTTGGGGTTGGACCTTCACCTTACGAGTGCAGTCGGGCAACTAGGGTTTGAAACCCAATCCTTAGGATAGCGCAAAAGCATAGCGATGTAACGTCTTTAAAGGATTTAATTACTCAAGTAACCAACTTTCGTTGGCCAAACATGCTTTGAACGCCCGGGAATGGAACGCCAAACAGATCCTGAGATGGTATCCTAGTGTGTATACAAAAGCCTCTCAGAGTCAGATATAGTGGGTCAAAATGACATGTGTGGTGCAAGTCAACCGGATAAACAGGCCGGATACGTAAAATTTCCGCGATGGAAAAATGTCTGTCGAACTCAGCCCGAAAGGTGGAACAAGCACGCTCCACCACGTAGTCTGGGCGGCTCATGAACGAACAGGAGGAAGTTTGACAAACTCACTCCCATATCTCGGTAACGCTTTTGCCACGCTGCAGAACTCGTCTATGCATGCCGGCAGTTTCCAGCCAGGTTTCGGTCATACATGTTCCTCCGGTCTCATAGCGCCGAACTAGAGCATTACCGGCTATCCAGCTCACCCACTACGCAACGAAATAAAAACAAAAGCACTTCCCTGGACAAAGCGGTCTTGCGAACTTCCTCCCGACCCTTAATTTAAATATTCCTTCCAAGTGGGTCACCGCACGGGCGACAGTGGAGATCAATCCCTCGCTCTATTAAGGGTACGTTTACCTCACCGTCTGCTTCCAAAATTTATAGTGAAAATGGACAGTCGGATAATTGAGTTGTGATAGACATCTGGAAAACGTTTGCCTAATATTCGACCGTCTCAAATACTTGGTCCTGGGCGGCCGCAATGTGACGCTGTCCCAGAAGTGCGGTTAAATTAACAACCGTCACCAAACACTCCCGACGGTACTTTAGGTAAACATCTCCTGATGCTCCACATGGGTACAACAGCCAAGCCCACCTTGACGGTCGGTGCCGTCTCCACCCGCTGGACGGCTGTCTATAGGTAAACGGACCCTGGGTCTGTTAGATCTGACATTTCATACTCAAGTACACTAATTAGATCATTTGGTACCGCCCTAGAGACATCTTGAACGAACAGAACAGCCGGCTGAGACCGGGGTCGTGACCGACAATCAGGAATGATGGCGGATGCCATTGATTGCCTTAATAAGAGGCTCACTCCCGTGGAGAAGGTAAGGATACCGGAATTGTATTGACTCAGAACATTGCTGACGGTTTTCAAAAAGGACTTGGTCTACCTGAATGTGAAGGTTGACGAAGGATTCAGAAAGCATGACGACTGGATGAAGTTCCTACATGGGGTTTTCGTGACCATTGTATACTTTGTTTGCAATAAATAACCAAATTTTTTCGTTAAAGTATCTGCCGGATTGCGGTTAAGTTAGCATACACTGGCTTGGAGCTGGGGAACTGGATCACTGATTCCTCGTTATTTCATCCTACTTTTACACAAAACCAGTTTCAAACTAATGGTAATGCCTCGAGGCTGGAAAAGGGGTCAGCAGTAACGTTAAGTTGGAAGTGAGTGCGCTCAAGTCGGGGATTCCACTTGAGCTCGCGAGGATGGAGCTCAGATTATCTAGGAATGCCTTGAGAGTGGAGGCTGAAGCTAGGGAGGAATGATTGGATTTCCTAATGGTGTTTTCTCTAGATACGGGCGTTTATTTGTGATACAAAGGGACTAAGGAAGGTTGGTGGAAAAGAATAAAAAAAGAATAAAATTCACAGCTGATGTCCGAGTGTCGTCCTATTTCGAGTCTCTCATAGTCAGTAAAAGCAAATGCCGTACAAAATTAGGCGCGACGTGAGGAGAAAACCCGTTCCAAACTAGAGGATGTCAGTCCCAAAATCAAGAACCGAGATCTTTCGAAATAATGCTAGAATTAGCCCAAACTATGCCCCCCCCAAAACCAAGTCGGAATCCTAAAGTACAACAATTGATACCCATAACAGAAACGAGAAATCTGTTGTAACCAAATATCCTTTAAAGCTCCCTGGCCCTCAAATTTCCGCACTATTCCCCAATCTTTCCCATGAGCTTCTTCAGTCTGCATGGAGGAACTCTAGTCCCTCTACCCTCCCTCGCAGGTCTTTCCCGTCCATGGCCCTCGTCGCTCTGGTTCCGAAGACCACCAGACCGGATCCCGGTCGAAAACCCAGTCTTTGCCGCGAGAATCATATTTAATTATCCTATAAGTTTCCACTGCGCCTTCGAAACCAACCCGCCCACAATCTCCACCGCACCACCGGAATACCCTCCGCCAGGCTCACTAACCTCAAACCCTTCGGAATAATTGGCCGATAGACAGAATCACACATCCATCAGTTAAACTCACGAGGCTACACGAAGGCGCACTTTTCCTGCGCTGCCGGATCGATACGCTCGCTCTAACATTGTTTGATAAAAGGATCATCGAAATCGCCTGTCTCTATCTCTATGTATAGGTTATTCAACTGCCTTGTAGCGTTCTGGATCGCAGTTTCTCCCATGTGCTTCTCGAGAATGGCTGAGTTCCACGCACGGTGAGGGGTGTTTTCCACTCTATCTGAAGGCACCCCTTTTCCCTTGCTGCCACCAAGGAGATGCTCAGTATGGAGAGGTTGGTGAATGTCGCTAATGACGTGGATAATAAATTTTAGCGCCATAGCACGCTCGTAATGGAACAGGTCTCTACCCATACCTCCACTAGGCAACGATCTCATCTCTTGATTAGTTCGCTACTCACTCTCGAGGAGTTAGTAGAACAAGAAGCGCGAGGAGATGTACTATGTTAACGAGAGCAGAGACAATTTCAGCCTTGGGCCCTCCTGAGCGCTTGACTTTGTAGGTTTGCGGTGGGTTACCCCCCGGGTCGATCCGGGCCCACAGTGGGGAGTACTAGCCATCCTTAGCGCGGTAAAACAATGGGATCGTAAGATAGGAAGTGTGCCATGTAGTCAAGAATTACCTAATTTGGAAAAGGGGAGAAAAACACGGCAAAAAAGGAAGAGTTCCTCACCCTCTCTGAGTGACAAAAAATTGAAACATCAGAATACCTTACTAGAGGGGGAAATTTTGACTACATTGCGGGTTGTTTACCCATTCTGGCTTTTACGGTATGGGGGTATCCATCCGCCTAGGTCGACCCGGTAACGATACCGGTGCTCTCTTGACAGCAGTTTACGAACTCATCTCTCAGTGCCGGGGGGTAGATAACGGGTCGACGGTAGAGTTACCGTGCTATGACTGAGAATGACCCATGTGGAAGAAAGTGGAAGAACTTGGAGGAGGAAATTTGCAGGACGTATGTTGATGCTTGTCAAAGGTAATGAGGGGTGAGAGTTCGGGGGGACAGGCTGGAGGTATATATGATACTAGTAGTTGAACGTTAAACGGGATAGGTGATCCAGCTGTAGATGTATCATAGATGTCTAGTACTGGCAGTGCTGTAAAAATGGTATGATTAGCCATCGCATACCTGACTATTCCTACCCGTTAGCCTCCTGGCATCCGGCTTGGGAGTAGCTCTAGCCCGCCGTAGATTGTGTGCGCTGGGTGCACATACCAAGAACTACCTTAACTCTATTACCCTTACTAAAACAGGTTAGTAGCTACCAGTAACTATTATACCTATGCAGTATGACCAGCTATGATATATGCTTTCCAAGAGATCTAGAAAGAAAACGTGGAGGAAAAAAAAAGGAAAAAAAAAATGCAGTCGAAAATCCGGACAGGAAGCAAAGGCGGGGGTGATAGTGCTATTGATAGTTAAACCTTTAGTCACGTGACTATTGAGAAAGGAAGGAGCAGGAGTGGCCAAGAGGCAAACGTCAATCATTTACGTAGGGCATTACCCAGGATAGAACAGACTACCTCAGACGTCCAAGTTCCCCCCGTCGCTCCTTGCAGGTGATTCATCACATCCCTATTGAAAAACGGTAGGAAGCATCCTAGGGGAGAGGAGTGTGCAACAAAAAGGATTACTCCTCCTTCCACATACCACATCTCAACGTCAGTCCACCTGTGGCAGAATCTCCAACCTTGGCCACCCGCTAGCCACATACAGATACAACACTGTACTATTCCCTACATGTAGTCTAGGAAAATGGACCTAAAAGACCCTTAATAGCTGTAACTAGTCGCGGGATGGGGAAATAAGCCCCCCGGATAATGATGCACCACCGTAACTAACTGCTGATATAAGTAGGTATTATAGGGACAACATGGTAGGTGAAAATTTCAAACTCCTAGCAAGCATGTTCTTAGCCTAGACACAGTGGACAATACACCACCCCCGATTAATGCACCACACGCTAGGCTGATCAGGTGGAGAGAGACGGGGGGGGGAGTGAGAAGGAGAGGAAAGAAGGGGCTACAAAATCTACTACCTAACGAAGGGTACTCCGGCTCTGCGATGATGCTAGTAATCGGTTACCATTGTCTTCACAGGTTATTACGAAGAGTAAAAAGGTTCTGGAAGAGAGGGCAATAAAGTCAATGGCTGGGGCGGGCTCTCTTTCAAAAAGGACAGAAGTCTGCATAGGGTGCTCAAGGATATAGAGTGCTTAGGTGGATTAGTTTCCGTCTCTCCCAACTAAACAAATCTAAAAGGTTAAGTCCATGTAGCCTCAGACTCTTGCTCCTGGGGGGTGGCTGCCCCCACACATACATCGTTTTTGTTCTAGCTTCACTGCCTTATCTCCATCTCTACCGAGATTTTTCTGTCAGTGCGCCGGAACAGAATGCTCGGGATCCAAAATGACATCGGGATGTCGTCTCTTCACAATATATCACTCGCCATACTAGGCAGGAGGGAAAAGTGCAAGTCAGGAAAAAGCACGAATGATACAAGTATGATACCAACAGACAGACTCTAAAATTCTTGGGCCAGCCGCTACAGGGTCAGACCGTGAATATGGACTCGCCCGTCTCCGAAAATCGGGGAACATTGAAGGTTGAAACGAGTAGGAGGGAAGCATGCCAGATGCAAGATTCATTCTCGCGTTTCTCTCTCTTTTCATCAACAAACAAATGCTAGGGTGCCACCTGTGATACTATGTTGGGATTTATTTCAAACGAACACACTAACTAATGTAAATACGTCTCGGAATGATAAATCCAACGACATTTCCAACTGTTTGCCCCCTGGTACTCCTAAATGGTCTATTTCCGGAATGAGTGGGGTTAGTTGTCGCGTGCGCTCCCTCTACCACACGGGATGGGAATCTTGGACTATTTGGTGGCTTTCCACTTAGTCTACATTCTGTTATAAGGGAAATATAAAAGTAGGAATTTCCCGCTCTTCTTATAGATTCTCGGCATGAGCATAGAAACCTAGGACAAGGATTGGCTCGGTATGGGAGGCAAGGATGGCTTAGGAAGTGTCGGTGTTGGAAGAGTTCCCATGTGGTCCCCGGTCACTTGATTAGCCACAAGGGTTGAAGATTGAAGGTGGATATGGGTGACTCGAATTCGGTCGCAGGGGGTGGAAGAAAGTAAAGTATAATGCCGTGTAAGAAGAAGAGTACATATGGATTGAGAAATGGATGATTTCTAGATAGAAGCATATCAAACGGGGATCTTTGACGTCGCGATATGATGGTATCCAGCCTCCTCTACCGAACGACGGGAATAGAAAAAAAAAATCCAAGAAGACTTAATGCTTACACAATACAAAATAAAGTACATTTATACAACAGGCCAGTGCCCAAGGAGGGTTTTCTGGGTTCAATCGGGGGTTGGGAAAACTTGAAGAGAAGAAAAGAAGTGGTAGGAGCTTCTCCGAGGTAGTCGCGGATACACTAGCAGCTGCAAAGTGGGTGTGCCGATAAGTGGAGTATAAGTATATAAACGACTCGAAAAGGAGCGCACGTGCATAGGAATAGGGAGGAAGGGTACGCAAATCGTTCGTTAAGCTTAATACAGGCTAGATATTACACTTACTCGATGCTGGAGGAGTGCCACGATCTGCGTGCGCTTATACTAAGAAGCGATTTAGAGTGGTGTTTGTCCATTTTTGTCCTGCTTGTGGGGATTGACATCGTCCCGTGCAAGGAGTAGTTTTACCACGCCTTCATGCCCATTGCGGGAAGCCCACAAGAGTGGCGTTTGACCATGCTTGTTCGGCATGTCAGGGTTGACATCGGGCCGTGCGAGCAGCAGTCTCACCACCCCCTCTTGCCCCCTGAAAGAAGCCCATTGGAGTGGTGTTCTACTAACGCTGTCCGGCTTGTTGGGATCGACATCGGCCCGGTCTAGGAGCAGTTTCACCACCCCCTCATGCCCATTGAAGGAAGCCCACCAAAGTGGTGTTTGGTCGTCGCTGTTCGGCTTGTTGGGATTGACGTCGGTCATTGCTAGTAGCAGTCTCACCACCCCCTCATGCCCATTGTAGGAAGCCCACCAGAGGGGTGTTCGACCATTGTTGTCTGGCTTGTCGGGATTGACATCGCCCCGTGCGAGAAGTAGTCTCACCACGCCCTCATGACCATTATAAGAAGCCCACCGGAGTGGCGTTTGGCCACGGTTGTCCGGCTTGTCAGGATTGATACCACCCCGGGCGAGTAGCAGTCCCGCAACCTGTTCATTCCCTTGCCTAGCCGCCCATATGAGCGGTGTAAAACCCATACAATCCCCCTGATTGATATCGCAACCTTTCATCTCTAGCAAAGCAGGCATAACCTCGACGATTCCGAAGTAGGATGCGCCGTGTAAGCTGGGGAATAGGTGACTTGGGAGTAAACACCGATGGTAGGGCTCTATTTGATTGAAAAGTAGAGTGAAGGATATATGGTCTCCTCTCTGGTTTAGCAGATCCAGGGCAAGCAATTTCGCACGATCTGAGAGCCCCATTTTTGCGTGCATTCCCCAATACAAGGAAGAATATTCGAGAAAGGGCATGTCTCCAAGGTTGGAAATGTTCTTGGGGGGAAGTCCCTTGATCTGCTCATAGGTTAAATATGCTAAGCAGGTGTGTGCAAGTGTTTTGTGGGAATCTAGGAGGACACCGGGCCGGGAAAGGTATTCTTGGAGCGTATAGTGGATTAACCGGACGATGGATGTCTTATCGTCGACCACAGCAAACCCTAAGCATGACCCTAGGATTGTATCTTGCGGACGGATGTTCTCTGGGTCAAGGCCTAGCTTTTCCATTTCTACCGCCAAGGCGTGACGGAGTTCGTCAATCCGCAGAGGTCGTTCGGCGTGGGATACCCACATCAGCACTTCCATACCAAGTCTTGACCGGGCCCCCTCCTGCTCCCTTATGCGCCGCAGTGTTTGAGCGTACACACTATCCAGGTCCACACCAGTCGTCGCCACCCTTTGCAACATTTCCTTTCTCTTGGCCAATGAGGTCTCGCTCAGGATTGCTTGGATATTCAGTGCGACAAGCAGAAACCTTAAGAAAATATAAATTAGCCATCCAAAATTGCAGTAGAGTAGCTCTTACATCTCCGATGACTTTTCTGAGAGTGTTTTCATTATATCCTTTTTCAAATTTTCTGTCATCAAGTCCGGATCTCGGTCATCATCCTCGTCCATCTTTCGACTTATGTATCTCGCGAGATCTCCCTGGTCAGCCACAATGCGTATGATATAGGCTCCCTTGGTAAGATGCTTGTCAAGTTCCCTGCGAATATACGGCCTTCCAGTAAGAAATAGCCGTGTATTTGGGGCATCTCGAATAATATCCCGTACCGCACGAAGAAACTCGGATCGATGCTGCGGCAGTAACTCGTCCACCGCATCGAAGCAGATGTATACCCGTTCAATAGCACTGATTGCTTTGACGAATAATTTCAGCATCTCCGGCAATCGAAGGCTTTTGCCACCATCATGCCTCGACTCCTCAAAAGCACTTCGAATTTCACTGGGAATCTCCTTTGCTCGTATAGCTACCTGTCTGAGCAGAGCACCAATCATATTCACTGCCGTTTGCTCATTCTGTGCCTGGTAATCACAATAGAGCGATAAAACCGCGATATTCTGTCCACGAGCCCGCTTGCACAGGGTGTCTATTACTAGTGAACTAATTGTATCACCTGTTAGCGTTGTCTCCGGTCCCTGAAGAGTATTCCTTTACCTTATGTAGGTCTTTCCAACCCCTTGACCCCCATAACACAGTAAAGTAGGATTCGCGGTTCCATTCCGACCGTCGCACCATGACTCGAACTCATTCTTCTCTAGAACCCAATCCCCAACACCGTCTAGGCGACGGTTGCTCACATCGTGATGCCTTCTATGGGGTTCCAGTGGTGACAGCCATGTTTCGATCCGGTCGGACTCTTCCCTTACTCCCACATTGAGG